AGGCTGGTCGTGGTTGCTCACACCTGTAATCCCAGCACTTTGGGAGACCAAGGTGGGAGGATCATTTGAGGCCGGGAGTTCGAGACCAGCCTAAGCAACATGGTAAGACCTCCCCCAACCTCTATTTTTTTTTAATTAATACAAATAGTAGCTCCATTTAAGGAGGACTTACAGGTGCCAGGCACTGTACATTAGTTCTACAATTTAATCTCTACAGTAACCTTGCAAGGAGGCATAGTCAACCTATGTTCGTATGTCTTGTGCTGCTTTCAGAATACCTGGGTAATTTATAATAAACAGAAATGTATTTGGCTGATGGTTCTTGAAGTCCAGAAGTCCAAGGACATGGTGCCAACATCTGCTCAGCATCTGGTGAGGGCCTCCTTGCATCATCCCATGGCAGAAAGGGACAGGGTAAGAGAGAGCGAAAGAGATCTGATGCACAGCCTCAAGCCCTTCCGTGACTGGCATTAATCCACTCGTGAGAGTGGAGACTTCATGACCTAAATGCCTCCCACTAGGTCCCACCTCTCAACATTGTTGCAGTGGGGCCAGCCAACATGTGCTTTCAACCATAGCAAACCCCAGTTTTCAGATTGGAAACTGAGCTCCCACAGCTGAAGATATGAGCCCAGGTGGGGTTGAGAGCCTGGGTTTTTTCTTTTTTCTTTTTCCTTTTTATTATTATTTTTTAATAATATATTTTTAATAATAAAAATAAAATAATAATAAAACCTGCAATCTCCGTCTTGTAGGTTCAAGTGATCCTTCTGCCTCAGCCCCCCTAGTAGCTGGGACTACCGGCACATGCCACCATGCCTGGCTAAGTTTTGTATTTTTTGTAGAGATGAGATTTCACCATGTAGGCCAGGATGGTTTTGATCTCTTGACCTGATGATCCACCCGCCTGGGCCTCCCAAACTGCTGGGATTACAGGAGTGAGCTACCGCCCCGGGCGGGGCCTGGGCTTTTTTGATACATCTGTGGAGGGTAGTTCAGCACAAGGGTACCTGAAAGAGCAGAGCCCGTCAAGAGGGAACCTGTGGTGTGCAGCTAGGAGGGGCTGAGCAGGAATTTGCTGCTGGGAAGACCAGAGATGGTGTACGGAGGACATCTGCAGCAAGGAGAGCTGGGGGCAAAGGCAGGGGTCCCCGGCAGGCTCTAGGCCCCTCTGCCCTGGGGGCTGTGCCAGGCCTGGGCTAGAGGGATAGGAAGGGAGGGACAGGAAGCTGCCTGCCCTCAGCAAGGTCTGCCCTCAGCAAGCAGGTGGAGGCTGGTGTTCCTGAGGCTGCAGACAAAGCCACCTCCTGCCTCCTTTTAGAAAGGCTCTGTGGCGCAGGCGTGGTGGCTCACGCCTATAATCCCAGCACTTTGAGAGGCCGAGGCGGGCGGGTCACGAGGTCAAAAGATTTAGAACATCCTGGCCAACATGGTGAAACCCCGTCTCTACTAAAAATACAAAAATTAGCTGGGCATGGTGGCGTGCCGCTATAATCCCAGCTATTCGGGAGACTGAGGCAGGAGAATAGCTTGAACCGGGAAGGCGGAGGTTGCAGCGAGCCCAGATCGTGCCATTGCACTCCAGCCTGGTGACAGAGCGAGACTCAGTCTCAAAAAAAAAAAAAAGAAAAAGAAAAGAAAAAAGGCTCTGTGGCAACTTTTTAGAGATTTACAGGATGAAAACAACAAAAACCAGCAAGCAGAGACTGGAGTAGAGGAATAGCAATCACAGAGGAAGAAGAATGTGGAAAGGGTGGGAATGTGTACGGAAAGGCATAGCGGCCGGTCCTGCACAAGGATTGCATTTGAAGAGAACGGTGGCAGTTAGTGGCACCTGTGCGCCCTCTAGTGGGCACAGAGGGAAGGAATACGTAATTTGTTCTTGTATTTACGCACCCATTCATTGCGGAGGGAGGATGGGAAGGACGTTGCTCTGAGACTCTGGGTGTCAGAAAGGGGAAGGGACTTGCTGAGGGTCACAGAATGCCAGTGGCAGGGGTCACAGTGGTCATTTCACGAGACCGCACGAACTCTCAGTCTTCCTGGGATCGGACGAAACCTCATGAGGTAGGTAGGGAGGAGTGGAGAAGAAAGCACGGGCCCGGCGTCATCAGTCCAGGCCTTGCCTCCCTGCCCTGCCCATTGCTGCTAAGGGAAGTTGGGAACGTCCCTCAACTTCTCAGGACTTCAGCGTCTTCATCTGTAAAATGGGATTATCTTAGCATCTACCTATCGAGAACGGTGAGAGTTAAATGAAGTGACGGATGTCAAGGGCATACAAGGATGCTTGGCCCATGGTGGATGCAGAGTTCTCAGGGAAGAGAAACTGAGGTCCAAAGAACTGGACAGGCCAGGCACGGTGGCTCATGCCTGTAATCCCAGCACTTTGCGAGGCTGAGGCAGGTGGATCACCTTAGGTCAGGAGTTTGAGACCAGCCGCCTAACATAGTGAAACCCCATCTCAACTAAAAATAACGAAAAATTAGCTGGGCGTAGCGGCACACACCTGTAATCTCAGCTATTTGGGAGGCTGAGGCAGGAGAATCACTTGAACCTGGGAGGCGGAGGTTCCAGTGAGCTGTGATTGTGCCATTGCACTCCAGCTTGGGAAACAAGAGCGAAACTCTGTCTCAAAAAAATTATTTAAAAATACAAAAATTAGCCAGGCATGGTGGCGGGCGCCTGTAATCCCAGCTACTCCAGAGGATGAGGCAAGAAAATTGCTTGAACCCAGAAGGAGGAGGATGCACTGAGATCAGATTTCACCACTGCACACCAGCCTGGGCAAAAAGAGTGAGACTCCATTTCAAAATAAATAAATAGAAATAAAAATAACTAACCAGGAGGTGGTATTATTGTCAGCAGGCGTGTATTTCTTTTTTTTTTTTTTAAGATGGGGTTTCACCATGATGGCCAGGCTGGTCTTGAACCCTTGACCTCAGGTGATCCACCCACCTCGGCCTCCCAAAGTGCTAGGATTACAGGTGTGAGCCACCATACCCAGCCTAGCAAGTGTGTATTTCTTGTCAGGAAGCAGGTGCACTCACGCTCTCTCTCTCCAGGTGGGCTTGGCTACCATTGGCTGTTCCCCCCACCCCCCATCCTGGGGCAAGGAGCTCCTGCTGGGCCAGGGCAGCCACACATGCCCCAGGTGTGGCTGTTGCAGTTGCAGCTGGCAGCATTCGATGGTGTGGATGACTCCGGCAGTGTGGCTAGCTGGGTTTAGTGATGGGGGCAGAGACGGAAGTTCCCTTTGAGACCCACCCCCCAACCCCCGCTTCTGTCACCCACCTCTGCAAGCTGTAATCATCCAACCTTTTACATTTAGCGATACTTCCTCTTACTAGTATTACACTTCTAGCTCTCCTGCCAGACAGAGCTGTGGGAGAGAAGGTCCAGGCCCTCCTGGAAGTAGGGGAGAAATCAGTTCTGCCCACTGATCTTTTCCTTATCTCTACTTGGAGACTCTCATGGAATTGTTGGGAGAGTTTAATGAATTAATATGCGGAAGAGCTTCACACAGTGCCTGGTTGATGGTTAACTATTAGTGTCATCCTTCATGGTTCAGGTTGGGTGTCACTTCCTCTAGGAAGACTTCCCTGACTTTCCCAGGCTGATTTGGTGCCTGCATCCCCTGTGCCTCCGTGGTACTTCCTATCACACTGAGTTATAATTGTCCCTTTATTTGTCTTTCTCCCGTACTCAACAATGAGCCCCCAAGGGGGGTTGTGCCATATGCTGTTCACTGTTGTATCCCCAGTGTGCCTGGCTCAGGTGGGAGTGACAATTATATTTTAGGTGAATGGGTGGGACTCATGAGAGGTGGGGCTCTGGGACCAGGCCCTCAGCCCTGTCACTCACATGCTATTTGATTTAAGCTCTCAGGGTTGAAGTTCCCCCGCAAGGGGAAATGGAGCTAAAACAACCCCTTCCTCATGGGGCTGAGGTCAGGAGCAAATGAGATTGTCTGCAAACTACCTGGCACACTACGTGTTCCATAAACATGCACTGTTGTTCTGCAGTTCCTGATTAAATACCCTCTACTTGGCTGGGTGTGGTGGCTCACGCCTGTAATCCTAGCACTTTGGGAGGCCAAGGTGGACAGATCGCTTGAGGCCAGGAGTTTGAGACCAGCCTGGCTAACATGGCAAAACCCCATCTCTACCAAAAATATGAAAATTAGCCAGGCATGGTGGTGCGCAACTGCTGACCCAGCTACTCAGCAGGCAGAGGCAGGAGGATTGCTTGACCCTGGGAGGCAGAGGTTGCAGTGAACCGAGATTGCACTACTGCACTCCAGCCTGGGCGACAGAGTGAGACTGTCTCAAAAAAAAAAAAAAAAAAGGAAAAGAAAATAAAAAAAAGCCAGGCGCAGTGGCCCATGCCTATAATCCCAGCACTTTGGGAGGCTGAGGCAGGTGGATCACCTGGACTCAGGAGTTTGAGACCAGCCTGGCCAACATGGTGAAACCCCATCTCCAATAAAAATACAAAAATTAGCTGGGCGTGGTGGCAGGCACCTGTAATCCCAGCTACTTGGGAGGCTGAGGTAGGAGAATCATTTGAACCAGGGAGTTGGAGGTTGCAGTGAGCCAAGATTGTGCCACTGCACTCCAGCCTGGTGACAGAGCAAGACTCCGTCTCAAAAAAAAAAAGGATGGAAGGGTCCAAACTAGAGCTGTTAAGAGCCTAGTTTGGACAGAGCCAGACCCCTCTTTAAAAAAAAAAAAAAAAGAAAAGAAAATAAAGTGGCTGGGTGCGGTGGCTCACGCCTGTAATCCCAGCACTTTGGGAGGCCCAGGTGGGAGGATCTCTTGAGTCCAAGAGTTCGAGACCAGCCTGGGCAATATAGTGAGAGACTCCCTCTACAATAAATAAATAAACAACAAACAATTAGCCGGACATAGTGCTGCGCACCTGTGGTCCCAGCTGTTTGGAAGGCTGAGGTGAGAGGATCACCTGAGCCTGGGAGGCGGAGGTTGCAGTGAGCCCAGATCTTAGAGCCACTGCAATCTCTAGCTTGGGCGACAGAGCAAGACCCTGTCTCAAACCAAAAAAAAAAAAAGTAAGTGACCTTGAGCAAAACCCTGCCCCTCTTAGAACCTCAGACTTGCTGTCTTTACACAGAAGACGGACTTCAAAGTCCCTACGACCTTGCCCGCCCGCATCAGCCTGAATTAGTTAGCGGGCTGGTTTCCCAAGGGCTCTGCGGGACACTGCAGCATAGCAGCGCCGCGGCTGCCGAGGGGTTAATACCGGTGGGCCCCGCCCCTTTTCTTGCCCCGCCCGACGGGCACCACCCCCGCTGGGGTTGTACCCTTGACCCCGCCTTCAGGCCGTGCGTCCACCGGAAGTGCCCGCGCGCAGGCAGCTCACTTCCGCCCGGCAGGTGACAGTCGCGGGGCTCCCAGCCGCCGGCAGCCCGGACGCGCCGGGAGAGTGTGAGGTGGAGGCCGCGGACATTTTGGTGCCAAGTCGAACCGAGCCGTGACGCTGGGAGCCGTTGGGACCTGCGGGTGAGGAAGCGGGGACCTGGCGAGGCAGGAGAAGAAGTGGGGCGGGGAGTCGGGGGTCCTAGGTGAGAGGTTTGCAGGGTCAGAGGTCATGAAGAGGACGCGGCGCTGCAAGGGGCGCGAGCGGCGTACGCAGCCGGAGACTGAAGGGCTGCGGGTTCGTTCATTCATTCGCGCTCGCTTGGCCGCCGGCCTGTTCCCCGACCGTCCCAGATCCGCAGCCCCGCCTGTGGCTCCCGCCGGACAGACTCCTAGACTTAGGCCCGGAGGAGCCCGTTCCTGGCTGGAGGGAAAACTCTTCGGGCTCTGGTTTCCTCTGTCAGACTCACCCTCATGGCCATCCTGAGTCCTCTTTGTTGTTCAGGGCGTTATCTCTTTGCCAAGGTTCAAAAAGAAGAAAAAAAAATTAGAAAACGGTTCCATGCCGCCCGCTCCCGGCTAGGCACGGGCTTGGTATTGTCTGTTGGAGCCTCTAAGACAAGTTGACTATGATAATGCTACAAATAACGAGGGAGATGCTTGCTAGTGGCTATCGAGCGCCTACTGTGTACCGGGCACTGTGCTAAGCACTTCTACAGTGCCACGTTTAAACTTCACAGCAACCTTTGTGGGGATTAAATATCCCCATTTTATCCAAGAGGACACTGAGGCACAGAGCGGTTCGATCACACGTGTAAGGTCGTTCATGTAGTAGAGGCAAGGTCAGATTTCCTGCCCAGGTTCTCAGGGACCTGCAAGTACAGAGACAAAGGAAAGGCTGGAGTCAGGTTGGGGTGTAGGGGATATTTAAGACTTCTAGCTGCTGTTGTGTTTATTTGGATTTGTGTCAGGATGTAGCCTTATTGCTTCTTGTCTGATCTTCGGAAGGGGCATCTGATTCACTTTCTTTAGGATAAAACAATATTGCAGGCCCTTGTTAGTAGTGATGTCTTTCAGGGCGAGAGTCTTAAGATATTCCTGACTTTTGGGAACTGTGAGACACAAAACAGGCTATCCATGAAAGCTGTTTGAAGATGATCCAGAACTTCTCTTCAGAGTGGTTGAACAGCATTTCTCTTGATGTAAAGAGAGGGGAACCACATGACCTCTAGGGGATCTTTTGGTCCTAGGTTCTGGAAGAAGGTACCCAGAGGAAGAATCAAATGCAAGCCCCATGACTTCTTACCTGAGCAGAGCACCTCTTACTTGGGAGCTGGTGAGATGGTTTGGTGGCTGGAGGACTAGGCCGTGTGACTCTGAGTCCCATTCCTTTGTGGATATTCGCTTGCTTCAATTCTGCCTCAGTTTCTCTGACATCAACATGAGAAAGACCTGCTGCCTCCCTGTCTACTCCTAGGTGAAGGAACCTGTGAATGAATCCATGAAGGCTTCCATATGCTTCTGAAGAAAGTTGTATATAAATATTACTCTGATACATTTTTTAAGCCCTATGATCTGTTTTCCAAGTTCCATTGAAGTCACAGAAACTTAATAGTGTCACCTTATTCCCATCCTTCCAAGGGAGGATTTGAGGTGAAGCAACTTGTCGCAGACAGTAGGCATATGAGCAGAGTGCAGAGCATCTGGTTTTCTGTCCTGAGGTGAGCCCACCACTCTCCTCTGACCTCTTAGAAACTGTCATGAGGAGCAGCTTCAGTAGTTCCCCCAAAGAGTCAGATCCCTCAGAGGTTGTGTGGCGATCATCTCCTGAGTGCGGATCAAGTGGAGGCTTCACCCTGAGCTGCTTCCAGAGCGCAGAGGTATGATGGAAAGATCACCTGACTCCCAGTCAGTCAGCCCTGGGTTCGACCCCAGCTCAGCAGCTTCCTGGCACTGTGACCTGGATAGTTTTCATAGGCTGGCCCTCCTTTACCTCAGCTCTGAAATAATACGGGCCATCCTCTCCTACTCCCCCACCGCTGGTTTGTATGAGGGTAGATGGGAAAATTTGTTCAGGGCCTGTTATTTTGGGTGCTTTGACTCTAGGCCAGCAGGTGCCTGCCGGGGGCCTGTGTCTGAGAAAGGCTGTCAACCTTGGTTTTCTGGAGTGTTACTTCCTGCTGCACACAGAGACCTTTATGTACCAGGGACTTCTACCCTTCTTGTTTCACTTCCCAAAAGTAGTTCAGAACAAGTTCAATTTGTTATTCCTTCCGGCTTTGAGCTTGGACCTGCATCTTTTTCTAGTTATCTCCTGACGCTCTCGCATGCCTTAACTGCTCACTTCCCAGAAACTGCCCATCTCTGGCACCAAAGCCTGCTGTGCTGACAGTAAGCAGCATGCTTGGGCTTTGCACTTTGCTGTGTTTCTGAAGATTGAGGGGACATCCATGCCTTGCACGCGTTTCTTTTTCTCGACAGGTCTTTTTGCCTAAGAGAGATCACCGGTACTATCACAGCCCAGAAGAGATTTTTCTGTTCTTTATCTCTTCACATAGAGTGGAACAAATACTCCTGAGAAAAAATTGTCAACAGAGCATTTGGGAATCCTTAAAGAAAGCTCATCAGTGGCTCCTAATTGCCCTCAAGCCAAAACTCACATTTCTTAGCATGGCATTCAAAGCCCTTTGGACTCTGACCCCTGCCTAGCTCTCTTTTTTCATCTCTCCTGCTCCACACTCACCTTCTGCCAAGCTCCAGTCAACCTCAGCTGTTTGCTACTTCTGCAAGCCCCAACTTTTTTTTCTTTTTTTGAGACAGGATCTTGGTTTGTTACCCAGACTGTAGTACAATGGAGCTATCATATCTCACTGCAGGCTCCAACTCCTGGGCTTGAACCATCTTCCTGCCTCAGCCTCCCAAGTAACTACAACTACAGGCGAGTGCCACTGTGCCTGGCAGAATATTTTTATTTTTTGTAGAGTCAGGGTCTTGCTGTATTGCTCAGACTGGTCTCAAACCCCTGGCCTCAAGCAGTCCTTCCCCCTGGGCCTCCCAAAGTGCTGGGATTATAGGTGCGAGCCACCACACCCAGCCTCCCAACTCTATATACCTCTCTGTCTTTGCTTTGCACCATTCCCTCTGCCTGAACACCATTTCCTGCTCCCCTGACTGTACCTTCCTAGCTGGAGTGCTACCTGGTGCTTCCCATCTGATGGTCGCCCCTAGGCCTGCGCTAGATGCCCCTCTTTGATGTCCTGTGGCAAGGGTCACAGTGGGTTGTGATTGTTTACTTGGCCCTCTTCTAAGTAAATAGCTCTTTTTTTCTTTTTTTTTTTTGGGATGGAGTCTCACTCTGTTGCCCAGGCCGGAATGCAATGGTGCAACCTTGGTTCACTGCAACCTCCGCCTCCTGGGTTCAAGCGATTCTAATCCCTTAGCCTCCTATAGGGTAGCTGGGATTACAGGCATCTGCCACCATGTCTGGTTAATTTTTATATTTTTAGTAGAGATGGGGTTTCACCATGTTGGCCAGGCTGGTCTTGAACTCTGGATCTGCCCACCTCAGCCTCCCAAAAGTGCTGGGATTACATGCATGAGCCACTGTGCCTGGCCAGTAAATAGCTCTTAATCCTCGACGAAGACCTCCCTTAACTATGTCTCCAGTACCTAGTGAGAGATCTGGTACATAGTTGGTGCTCAGCAGTTGTTCACTGAGTGAATGAATGAATATTGCATTGAATTGTTAGGATTCTTTGGCTCCTAAGGGATTCAAAGCACTTTCTACATTATCTCCTGTCCATCCTCAAGTCACCTCATAGAGACAGAGAGAAATCTGATCAGTGCTGAGACCACTTTCAAACTACAGTTGCTACCACCAGCCAGTCACCAGAGTGTTTCAAGGCTTCCAGACACCTGGGAATCTGGTATGGAGCAGGGAGGTGGTAAACCTTCTCCTGGTAGTAACAATAGTAGCTAACATTTATCAGGCATGTTGTGGACTGAGCACTGCTAAGGGCTAGGTATATATTGACTTGTTTTTTACCCTCACAAACCCCTCAGGCATATAACATTGTAGTTCCCATTTTACGCTTGTGCTGCAGTTGTGCCTGTTTGCTCTGTGGAGCCTGGGAGAGCCCCTGCCATACCTGCTGTGGCTGCCTTCCCCTACCCACTCCTGTGCTTAGATTGTCCACTGTTGTATAGTGGAGCTGAGGAAGGACTTGGCTATGGTTCTGTGCCTCATGCTTTCTGGGTCTTTAGCCTTGGGCTTAACCTCTGACTTCTGACAGGAAGGGAGGCTTCTCCTACTTATGGTAGAAGTGTGGCCTAACTCTGGGTTGACCCCACAAGGCCCAGAGTACATCAGTTACTGGGATGCCTTAGTCACTGATCCTCCAGGTCACCACCAGTTACTGTAGTCCACCCTGCGGACTCTGAGATAGAAGATGGTAGATTTGAAAGTCAGGTCTCAGAAGCTTTAAAACTGAACCTTCAGTGTTCATTTTCAGCATTTCAATAGCTGAGTTCCATAGACTTGGGTGGCAGATACTTTTTACCACACCCTCCTTGCATTTAGGATCTTAAGCATATTGAGAGTGGAATAACACAATGTCAGTAGAGCTAGCCTCGTGGCTGCTGCTGTGGTGGTCTTCGTTGCCTGATCTTTCAGTGTTGGGCAGCCGGCTGCTGGGACGCTCAGGACGGGACTTCTGAAGTCCAGCATTGATTCAGTATTTATTGAGGCCTGCTAGTGCCTGGTGCTGGCCTATGCTGATAGGTCAGCAGGCCAGATATGGTCTCTGCCCTCCGGTTGCTTACTTCATTCTAATGGGAGAGAGAGAGACAAAGGAGAGAAAAAATGTGATTATTAGAAAAACCAATCAGCCATGAGGGAAACAGAAGACATAGCAGCCAGAGCTTGTTAAAATATAAGTCCGATGTCAGGACTCCTCTGCTCCAAACCCTCCTGTGGCTCCAGCTCACTCTGTAAAAGCCAGAGCCCTCACCCTTGCTCAGAAGGCCCTGCATTCTCGTGACTTCCTGGCCTACTGTTTCCTCATTGCTCACTCAGCCACATTCACTTCCCTGCTGTTCCTCAGACATGCCAGGCACATACTCACCTTTGTACTGGCCATCTCTAT